GATTAATTTTTGTTGAAYTTCAGAAAAGTTTTTTCTCCAAAGGTATTCTTTACAGACATTACACAGCTGATGCAGTATGACTTTAAATCAMATCAAAGTGTTTTATGTTTTGTATTTGCATGTTGTTTGGGGTGTATGTTTAAAATGAACCAAAGACAGAAGATTTAGTTTTTTGTTTTCAGATGTTTATATCTATGAAATACAGATAGCTGACATGCTTCTTCTGTCTGATTATTATTTATGCATTACCTGGGTGCAAATGTTTGTTTCTTGTATGTGAAATGTCACTTCATGTTAGTCAAATTAATCAAATGTCATGTTTAAAGCCTGCAGATCTGTTTGAATATTTAGGATGTTTAAATTTGTGACATAAAGTTTTCTTAGCTGAAACAAACACACAAATCCAAATTGTGTGTGTGTGAAATAAAACGGGCAAGGTTTTACTTGACATGTTCCTTGAGTGAATCACTGCTGATTCTTTTACTTCAGTAATAACACCTGCATGTGGGTGAATTTTAATAAACACTAAACATAAAGAACAACTTGTAGTACGTCTGCCGGACTGTCAGAAGACAACAGATTTAGAAATTTGACTATTTCAATTTGCATAGACTGAAAAGTTTGTTTAACCATAAAAAATCAGTGTTCTTTTTCTGCATGTGATGTGCAGGAGCTGAAAACATCTTGTTTTTCACTGAGTTGATAGCCTATATGTGACGAGCTCCAAGACACTTTTTTCTTCTAAGCCTGAAACTGTGAGGGGCAGAATACGCGCTGTTGATTCATTGTTTATTTTTTACAAATTATTTACCTGTGGCCCTCAAACCCCAGTTAATTTTATATATGATTCTCTTGCAACTGAAGTGATATAAACCTCTTTTATGTATTGTCCTAAATGCCAGAATACTTAAGTATAGTTTTATTTCTTTTCCAAATGTTAAGTCACTTTACATTTTATTAACTTTTCACCTGTCTTTCACAAAATCCGGGGGTTTTGTGTTAATTATGTTGCATCTCAGTGCAACCGACTTTTTGTTGTTGTTTCTTTTAGTTTAACTGCCTCAGCTTTTACATCTGTTTCACATGAAATTGATTGCTGAAAGGAGATTGTTTCATAATGCATTAATCGAGTTTCCATTGAAACGGGTCCAAAACCAACCACAAGACCTTTCTCAGTCGTGATGTCACCGCCTCTATTGATTTTGGAGCACAAAACTGACAAAAGTCTGAAGGTGAACTGGCTTCTTAAGGTTTTGTCAGTTGTGAACCGTAGAAAAAACACTTTGGTACAACACAATGGCATCACTGTGACTGCTTCTGCTGTTTCCTACTTACTCTGTACTGAATTGATCAATATCCCCCACCTTACCTCCTCCCACTCACCCCCTGTAATGTATGAAGGTACATTAAAAATGTTCAGTTGATATTTTTGTCCATGCCTAATATGAATGAACAAACCTGAACTCACAGTTTGAACTTCTACAAGTTGGAGTAAAAACCAAAACATGTTAATACAATTTTAGCTTGTTTTAAAGTAAAAACAAAAGGTCAGATACTCAATTTATAAATATTCCGATAGTTCCCCCCCCCCCCTCCTTTGTTTATTGAATGGACTGAAGCGCTTTAACTGAGGAGACATGAGAAGACGAACTCGGCCCATTAGTGAGTCAGACATAAACATGATAATAAAGTCAACATGTGGCGCAGTTTTCTCCGCTGAGATTTTTCTCTCGGTCTCAGGCCGGCGTATTTAAACAGAGCGCAGCATGGCGTCAGTGTGGAAAGCCCACGGTCAGGACGCACAGGCAGGGTCTTAAACCAAAGCGGTGCGGTCATCATCGAATTCTGTCAGTTACCTGGARTAAACAAAACAAAGAGCCATCCAGGCTCTTTAGAAATCTGCTAGCTAAGCCTTTTCCCTTTTCTTCCTCATAATAATCCCTCGTGATGGTTTGTTTGGGCTCAGTCAGGGCTGCAGGGGGAAGGAGAAAGTGAGGAGGTAAAGTGGGGGTCTTTGATGATGACGAGATTAGATATAGGCCGGCAGACTGTCTCCTCCTGCCTCTGCTCCGAGCTCTGCCTCGCACCCACCTACGGCTGCTGCTCATAAACGCGCACACACACACACGCTTACACATAGTTAGGTGCACACATGTGTGGTTAGCCGCACGCACAAGGCCACCCCCTTCCTCATTGTTGAGGAATTACTTGCTCTTTAAGGTCTTAAGTTACAAGAGCAATTGATCCCTCTGACCCCCTGCAAACCCTTGAGGTTGTGCTGGGAATCTGAGCTGCAATGTATACACACACACACACACACACACACACACACACACACACACACACACACACAC